CATAATTTTAGATGCAAAGGGTATTACAAGCAGGTTTGTACTTCCTCATCTTCCTGGCTGCCTTTCTCCGTAAGACACGCATCCTTCCAAACTTTTCTCCAGCCTCCTGTCCCCTTATACACACAACATACATGTGCATATTATGGTTATTGTTTATTTTCCAAAAGAATGTGTTATGTATACCTCTCAGCATCCTACTTTTCACGAGGACCACGTGAAAATCCCCCCAAGTCACTGGGGAGGTCACTCTGTCTTAATGACTGTGGGATCAAAGACCTGCCCCCGATCCCCACCACTGGTGGCATTTCTCCCTAGTGTGAGACTAGGAGCAAAGATTCTTTTAAAACAGAAAAAAAAAAATAGTGACGACAAAAAAACCACAGTTCCTTGTTTGGCAAGCGGAGCTCCAATGAGAAGAAAAACTTTGGTCTCCTCCCTCCAAAAAGCAGAACCACAGAAAGCGTTCTGGGAGCTTTGTGCCCACAATCCCTGTTCCTCAGAGACCCCATCCCAGCCAGTTCCGGGCAGACCCTCTTTGTCTCTATAGCTCTGTGTCCTCAGCCACTGGGAGACCTTCAGGGAGGTGCTGACCTACCCCTACCCACAGGTCTCTCTGCCCACCCACGCAGGCCCTCTCTTCTCTTCCAGCCACTGCCCAGCTGACATACCCATCATGGGAGCTGCTGGCACCTGCCCCTGAGGTGCTTCCCCTTGGCAGGTGGGCCCATGGCTTACTCAGCCTCCTCTAGGGGTGTGGGGGGGCCTTTGGCCTCCAAAGAGCTGCATATCCCCAAAATACCTGCACAGCATTCCCAACAGCCAATGCACCTGGCACTGTTCTAACGGCTTTGACCTCAGGCTTATCCAAGCTTTACCACATCCCTGTGACACAGGTGCTACACTGTGCCCATTGGACAGATGGGAAAACCAAGGCACAGAGCAAGTCAGTGATCAGACCAAGGTCACCTACAATCCAGGTGGGAGAAAGCCTGGATTTGAACACCAGCAGCAGGACTCCAGGACCTTACTCAACCCTCATGCCATGAACAGACCCGGAGCCCAGAGCAAGAACCTGGCAGCCTGCCGTTTCTATCCGCCCACAGTTCTGCCCATTCTGTGCAAAAGAGAGCAGGAGTCACAGAGGGGAAGTAACAGGAGGACGCGCAGGCAGAGGTGAAACGTCACACGACCTGGGTTTGAATCCTAGTTCTGCCACCTTAACAAATCATGTGCCCAAGTCCTTCTCGGATCAGCCACAGGCAGTCTATGAAGTGGCTAAGGACATGAGTTCTGGGGTCAGGCAGCCTAGGATCAAATCCTGACAATACTGTCCACCTGACCCAGGGCAGCTCACTTAGATTCACTTTGCCTCAGTTTCCTCACTTCTCAATAGGGAATAAAAACAGCATCCGCTTCACAGAGAAGATTAAATGAGTTGACACATGCAAAGTGCTTAGAATGGCAAGTGATGAACCAGCGTCACTTCCTGCACAGCCATGACTGTCATTGTTTTCATCATGACTAATGGTCCCCAAAGCACATGGGGATCTCTATGAAACATCCAGCATCTCTATGAAAGGGCTGTTCTTGCCTTTTCATGATTCTTAACACACGCAAAACACCAAACTCACAGGACCCCCTGGAGATGAGGGAGGGAGTGCAATCCAGTTCCTGAGGGAGATGGGGTAAGATGGGGAGATTCTGGAGCAACCACAAAGCCCTCGGCCTGGAACCAAGCAAAACGACTGGTTCCTGTGGCCAGAGTCCAGGGGGTCAAAAGAAAACTCAGTCAGAGCCCCCATCCTCCTCTCAGTGCTGACTTAACTCAGACCTCACTTCCTCCAGGAAGCCGTTCCTGATCACCCCTGCTCTCTGGATGCTGAAATCCCAGAACCCTAATTGTCTGCATTATTTAATTTTCATATAACAATAATAACCAATATTTATATACCTTACTGCCAGGCACTGTTCTAAGTGCTTTACATCAATTTCTATAATTATCTTCTTTAAAAATCTATAAAATAGGACCTATTACCATCCCTCTTTTTACAAATAAGGATAACAGAGCTCAAACAGGTTAAGGTGTTTGCCCAAGGTCACAAGTCCAAGGACTTAACCTCAAGCAGTCTGGCTCCAGAGGCTTGTACTTGGATTGTTTTTTTTAAACACCCATTTGGCCACCCTCCACTACACTGACCTAACCTTGAGGGCAGAAACCACACATGGCCTCTATCACAAGGGGTTACTTTCCACAGTTTCCATGGGCTGATGGACCTTTGCACCAGGGAAACACAGAAGCCAGGGTGGTCCTTGAAGGCCTGCCTCTAACCACATGGAAATAAAAGCAGGGAGGGATTACCGTGCATTATTCCAAGCCCGGAGACAGCGGGGAAAATCCCTTAGCAAATATAAAGGCTGAGAAGAGAGAGTGGGAAGACAGAAGAGAATCACAACCTGAGGCTGCCAGCCTTGCAGCCATGGAAAGCCTCGGTAATTAGCGTTCCTGAAGCTCTAAGCCCCAGGTTAGTTCTGAAAACTAAAGTGCCATGGATGTTTAGGGGCCATTCCTGATGGGGCAAGATGAGAGAGGACTCCTGTGGCTCACAAACAATGTATGGCCAGTCAGGTTACACAATCAGTCTGTTTCTGGCACCAGCTTGGGGACACAAAAAGGACGAGGCAGAAAGAAAGCCCGGATTCCCCACTCCTTGTTTCACAGGTGGGGAAACCGAGGTCAGGACAGTTAGCATGACTGGTCCAAGACACACGTCAAAGTCAGAACCAATTCATCTCAGAACTGACACAACAGATACCAAAAGAAAAATGTGATGAAGTCAGCAAATGTAAAGTGTCAAGGAGATAATCTGAAAGTAGAGAAATCTTTTTTTTCCTGTTTCTTGAATAATAAGAATTGTTGGCTCCAATCAATTTCTATTATTCCAGCTTCCTTTGACTCTACACGTGGATGATTTAAAACCACAGTTAAACACAATCTAGCTCTCTTCTGAAATGAAACACACCATCTAGGACAGGGGCGTGGGAGGAAGGGGTATATTTTCTTTCCCATTAATATAAAAATTGGTTTGTATTTCCTGTTTCTCCTCCAGGCAGAGGAGCAGGGAGTGGCTCAGAAGGAGAAGTCAGGAGTTCCCTAGAATTTGACATTGCTCAGAGACACCAGGGTTGTCTACATATTTAACTCAGAAACTGTCAGCTTCAAACTGAACAAATTCTTCCATCGCCCCAAACTGTGAGAGAAGGAGGGATGGGAAAGAGAGCCAATCTTGCCTTCTTACAGGAGTCTCTGGAAGTGTCCTTTGGCCAAATGGTTTTCAATGCCTCTTCACAACCCTGTCTCCCACACCCCCTCCCCCCAATACATCTCCTTTCACAGGCAGAAAGGCTGTAGTCTACGGCTCTCTCTCTCCTCCCAGACTTGGAACTCTAATCTCACAAGGCTTCAGCTGCATCCCTAAGCCATAGGGAGCCCCAGAGGACCCCAGAGTCTCCCTCCTTCTCCCAAAGACTGGGAGCTACGGAGCCTGGCTCTAGGGTCTTTGAAAAAGCCATCCTCACACCAGCCCTTCCAGAGCCAGGATTAAAACACTTCCTAGAGCAGAGAAGGGGAGTAAATGAGGACCAGCAGGAGGCATGGAGATTAAAGCCTTTCGAGTCTCCTAACTTCCATCCAAGGCTCAACCCCTTGCCCCCTCCCAACTCCACCCCCCACCCGCCACTTTTCTCACTTCCTAGGAGAGTAGGGAAGTGGCCCCTTCCTCCCTCTCACAGAAAAAAAGCAAAAGAAAAATCCAGCACAGAATAGGGGTTTAGAACACCAGCTGGGATTATCCCGGTCCAAAGTCCAGTACCTCCACTTAATCAGCTGTGCGATCCCAGGCAAGTTACCTGGCCTCTCTGGAGCTAAACTTTGCCACTATTAAAAACGGGGGAGGCCGGGCCCAGCAGCTCACGCCAGTAATCCCAGCACTTTGGAGGCAGAGGCCGGCGGATCACTTGAGGCCAGGGGTCCAAGACCTGCCTGGCCAACATGGTGAAACCCCCTCTCTGCTAAAAATACAAAAATTAGCCTGGGGTGGTGGCGCGTGCCTGTAATCCCAGCTACTAGGAGGCTGAGGCACGAGAACCGCTGGAACCCAGGAGGCGGAGGTTGCAGTGAACCGAGATTGCGCCACTGCACTCCAGCCTGGGTGACTGAGGGAGACTCCACTCCAAAAAGAAAAATTCAAAAAATTAAAAATGGGGGAAATACTCGTCCCTACTTCATAGGCCGCCTGTGAAGGTCAAACCTGCTAATTAATGACACATGTAAGGTGCCTGGCACATAGTAAGTGCTCGTTGTTATTTTACGAAGTCTGAGGCCGTGGTTTTTCACTTGAAGATGGTGGGGGCGGAATGTGGTGAGGGAGCCTGGACTGCCGAGTTCGAAACGCACTCTCCCCGAACTCCAGGAAAAACGTGTGCATGGGGGAATTCTACACTGGGGTTCTGTCAATCCCAGTCCCTCCTCTGAGCTTCAGGTTTTATCCGACTGCACCAACACGCAGGGACGCCGGGTTCTGGGGTTCCTACGGTCTTCCTAGATGAGTGCTGCACCGGGCGCGAAGTTATTCCCGGGTAAAAGACGCAGGAGCGCCAGCTCCCGGCGCCGGGGTCCCCGAGCCCCTGCAACGCGGAGGTAACTAATTTTAAAACTATTTGAAAGGCGGGGAGGGGGGCAGTAAAGACAAAAGGGCAGCGCGCGCCGCGGGGAAGCGGAGTGAGGGAGAGCCCGGGTCGGAGCAGGACTCCGCGCCGGCCAGGGAGGGAGGCGACAGGACCGCTCAGGAGGAGCTCGGTCGCCCCCGCTTTCCGCGCGCCCCGCGGGGCACCCCCGAGGCGACTCTCTCCACCCCCGGGGACCAGGGTCACAGGTTGTGGGGACCGCAGCGGGGCGAGCGGCTGGAGGGGAAGCGGTCCCTGCGCCGCCAGGCGACACTCACCGACTGCAAGAAGCGCAAGGTGCCCACGTAGTCCCTCTCAGTGCCCAAGATCTCGTTGAGGACGCAGAGGCGGAGGCGCAGCTGGCGCTCGGACTCCCGGGCTGCCGCGCACTGGCCGGAGCTGGGCGCCGCGGCGCCAGGGGTCCGCGGGTCCGGGTGGGCGCCGTCCCCGGCCCTGTCGCCGCCGGGCTCGCTGCCGCTGGGCGCCTCCATTCTCGCGCGGCCGCGCAGCGCCGGCTCCTTCCCCCGCGCGGAGGTCGCGCCGAGCGGCGGCTCAGGCGTCCAGGCGCCCCATCCCGGACGGGGCGCGCCGGCGGGCCAGGCTCAGCGGCGGGCCGGGCTCCCGGCGCGGCGGGCGGGACTGGGGGCCGCGCGGCGGGGCCGGGGGCGGAGGCAGCGCGCGGGGGCCGGGCGAGGGGCGGGAGGGGGCGGCCCTCGGGGCTCCCAGACGGCAAGTTCCCCCCGCCCCTGCGCCAGGGAGCGTCTGCCAAGTGCCACGCTGCGCTCGGCCGCAGAGGAGCTCTGCGCGTGCACGGGGCCCCGGGAGACGCGGCGCGGTGCTCGGCGCCTCAGTCAGAAGCTCGGGGGTCGGGCGGGAGCCTCCGGAAGGGGCCCGCGGAGCCGGAGTCCGAGGCCGCGCTCACGCCGCGCCGAGCGCCCCAACTCCGCGCCGAGACGTGTGGCGCCCCCCACCCTCCGCCGCCACCGCGGGCGACGCCACTCCCACCCGGTACACGCGACACCCGCCGCGCGCAGGCTCCCGCTTGCAGGTCCGGCCGCCGCTCGGGCAGAGTAAACACCGGGCTGGGAAAGCTGTAGGCTGAGCCGCTCGGGGGCAACCCAGCCCCGCCACGCGCGCCCCCGCGGCCCCGAGCAATCAGAGGGGCGGCCCCTCCCGGGAACGCTGGGCCATTGCGGTGCCCTCGGCGCTGCCACGACCTTGGAAAGGAATGTGCGTGGCGCGCGCGCTCGCTCTCACTTTTCTTTCCCTTTCCCATCTTTTTCTTTCTAAACTTCTTGGCCCCGTGACCCTGCCGTTTCCACCTTTCCCAGAAGAAATTATTGGCTGCTCTCGAGTCATTGATCATGTGGCAGGTACCCTGCCTGCGCCTCCTTCCATCGGCCCACCCCTGGGATAAGGCCTTGGAAAACCCAGCTTCTTGTCATGTTGCTCTGGGCGACGTTGATCATCATCAAACCGCTTGGCAAATGTCCTCACCCGCCTTATCGTAAGGTATGGCGAGGGGAGGGAGCTCTGGAGCCTAGAGTCAGCTGCTCAGGTGCAAATTCTAGCTTCCCACTTGCTGGACTGGTGGCCTTGGGCTGGCTTCCTTGCCTCAAGATCCTCAGTGTTTTCATCGGTGTAATGGGAATGATCGTGGTACCTAGCTCCAAGGTCCTGTACAGGGTTCCATGAGAAGTACATAGCATGGCGCCCAACACCTAGAAAGTTCTCTGTAAATGTTTGTTATTACTATTATTGCATGTGTGAATGGCCCTCTTGGCCTGGCCCCACTCTTGAACGTCCTATACAATCCCTAACCACCTGTGTTGCAGACCAGAGATTGTATCGTCTCTGCAGGGGATAAAGTGATTTATATAGTATACCCATCTAGACTATAATCATTTTATGGGCAGAAACATTATTGCTTATTTTTCTCTGTTCCAAAAATCTAGGATTTTTCTTCCATCGGCTTCTCAATACTGTAACTGCCTAAGGACACAGGGAGAGAATGGGGTGGCTTCTGCCCTCTCAGACTTCCTTCTTTGAGATCATGGGCAAGATAGCATTTGATCTGGGCCTTGGTCTGGATGAAGTTCCCCAGGGCAGGGAGGAAAGGACGTGAGGTAGGTGAGCCTGTCAGGTTTGGGTAGTAGAGTCAATGGTGTCCAAAGGTAGCTGGCTTTTTATTCCTGAGTTTTGCACAAAATAATAGAGGCCTCTGGAATAGCTCTGCTTTGTGACCTTAAACTGGTCACAGCACCTCTCTGAGCCTCAGTTTCCTCATCTTTAATTCTATCTACCACAAGGGTCGAACGTAGTGGGAACATCATGGACCATGGAATAAAGCAGGCTTGTATTTGTATCCCAGTCCAAATCCAACTGGCAGGCTAACCTTGGCCAGGACGCTTTATCTCTCTGAGCCTCAGTTGTCTAACCTGTAAAAGGGGAGTCTTTGTGAGAGCAACATCTATGCGATGAAGACTTTCTCAACCTTGGGACTATTGACATTTGGAGTCACATAACTCTTTGTTGGGGGAGGGGCATGTCCTGTGCATTTTAGGACCTTCAGCAGCATACCATACCCACTAGATGCCAGCAGCACTCCCTCCCCAACTGTGAGAACCAAAGCTGGGCACAGTGGCTCAGGCCTCTAATCCCAGCATTTTGGGAGGCCAAAGTGGGAGGATTGTTGGATCCCAGAAGTTCGAGACTAGCCTGGACAACATAGCAAGGTCCTGTCTCCACAACAAATTTTTTTAAATTAGCTGGGCACCAGCCAGGCATGGTGGCTCATGCCTGTAATCCCAGCACTTTGGGAGGCCAAGGTGGGCAGATTGCCCAAGGTCAGGAGTTCGAGACCAGCCTGACCAACATGGTGACACCCCATCTCTACTAAAAATACAAAAATTAGCCAGACGTGGTGGCCCATGTCTGTAATCCCAGCTATTCGGGAGGCTGAGGCAGGAGAATTGCTCGAACCCAGGAGGCAGAGGATGCAGTGAGCTGAGATCATGCCACTGCACTCCAGCCTGGGCACAGAGGGAGACTCTGTCTCAAAAAAAAAAAAAAAATTAGCTGAGCATGGTGGTGCACACCATGTAGTAGTACCAGCTGCTGGAGTGGCTGAGGTTGGAAGATTGCTTGAGCCCAGGAGGTCAAGGCTGCAAGTGAGCTGTGATCACACCACTGCGCTCCAACCCAGACAACACAGTAAGCCTTGCCTCAAAAATAAACCAACTGAAAAAATGTCTCCAGACATTGCCAGATATCCCCGGGGACAGAATTACCCCCTGTTGAGAACCACTGATATAAAGTACCAGACACAGACAGCAGGCACACAGTAGGTGCTCAGCAAATGTTAGTTCCCTTCTCACCCCATGACCGAGGAAGGTTAGCCTCAGGTTCACACACAGATTCCACACTTCACCCAAGAATTGGCCCACAGAGCCTAAAAGCGTTTCCACGTTGTGAGTGCTTCCCATCCCTGGCCCACCCAATGTTTTATACATTGTTACTTCCTCAGATTCTGCTGGGATGTTTCCACCTCTGTCCCCATGTCCAGTGGTAATGATGGCACTAAAAGATGATGCAGCTTTTAGTAACATACTCAAGCTCTCTGTGCCTCGCTTTCCTCATCTGTGAGCTAATAATACCAGTACCAACATTACAAAGCCATTGCAAGGTTCCTGAGTGAATACATGGAGAGTGCTTAGAGCACACAGTAAGTGCTCAATAAGTGAAGTCCTTCGTTTCTTCAGTGCGTGGATTGAGTGCTGAATCTAATAGGATGCATTTGGTGGCAAGGAGAAGAAAAATGGGCTATTGATGGCTTAAAGCATAAGGACATTATTTAGCAAGAGGTCCAGAGGCAGTTGGTTCCTGAGTCTGGTGTAGGATTTAACGATGTCATCAAGGATCATGGCACCTTTGACCCTCCTATCCTCAGCACGGTGGCTTTTGCTCCCAAGCTTTAGGGCATCGGAAGCACAAAATGGCTGCTGAAACAGCAACATGGCCTCCTCACACACCTCCAATGCAGGAAAGAAAAGGACGAAGAAGCCTCTATCTCCTCTGTGCTTCTCCCTTTGCAGGAATAAACTTAAGCTCCCAGCAGGTCAGCACTGGAACCCATGGTCACCCTTGAAAAGTCCCTGACCAAGGGCATAGATTGCCACCATCAACTTAGAAAAGACCTGCTTCGTCCCCTGACACGTGCTTCCTGGACAACTTGGGGTCTCTTGTCAAGAGAGAAGAGGAGCTAGCAGGGGTGGGCATCTGAAAGTGTCCGCCACAAGCACCTGCCACACACTGGGCATTGGGCAAGGTCCTGAGACTGCAGCACTGAGCACCCCAACCATTTAGGCCCTTGTGGTGCCGGCATTATTCCAGCAAGGGGGATGATGAGGATAAGGACAGCAAGTCCTTCCCCTCATTCATTCAACAAGTATACACTGGGGGCCTGCTGGTATGTCCAGTCAAGAGCAGGGAGAGAAGGACAATAAACTAATAAACCAGGTCCTTTCAGCTTCTCTGAGGCCGGCAAGGGATGGGCCTGGGGAAGCACCATTGGTTGGTGGCACCTCCGGGACTCTGACTCAGGTCACTACCCCTGTGGCGTGACCAGCCAGGGGCCTCAGCCTTGGCAGCATCAATGGGGACTCCCTCTCTTCAAAACCTGGCTGCCTCCCAGCTAATCCTGGCACAGACAACTCCCTGAACCAAACATGACTAAGCAGTCAGGCCGGGGAGGATCTTCTCTTCCTGTCCCCATTTCAACTTTGATCTCTGCTCCCTTCTTCCCCATCACTCTCACCCATTCCCCCCAGGATATCTAGAGGGGAGCCCATCAGTCCCATGTGTATGTCTTAGGGCAGGGTCTGAAACAGCCGGTAACTGGGTAATGTTCTCAAAAAGAACAGAGAAGAAAGAGGGAAAAAAACAACTTTCAGTTCAGGGGGAAGAAAAAGTGATGATAACGATAGGGAAATTCTCCTTTGCAGGGACAATTTTAGAGTTTCCGTTGCCATGTACTTCGCAAATAGTGGGAAATACCATTTCGTTCCCGTTGCGTAAGTTTCACAGTTGAGGGGGAGAAGATTCTGCTGCTTGGAAACATCAGAGTTTCTCATTCTCTGACAAGCCCCTGTCAGCTTCTGCAGACTTGAGGATTTGAAGGCCCCTTCCTAAGCTCTGTTTAAGAGGAAAACTAATTAAGATAAGCAAAGAAAAACAACGGGTGATTATTTTTCCCCCTCCCAACTTGAATGAGCCAGTTGAGCAGTGAGTTACAGCACTACCCGGGGTGCTATCCTTTCCCAAATGCAAATGAGTTCTCAAAAGTCAGATCAGCTGTCCAGAGCCAGGCTGTTCCTCATTCTGAGAACCAAGAGCAGCTGTCTGAGAAGAGGAGGGAGGTCTCTCCACCCCTGGAATTAGAACAGCTGGACAACCCAAACCGACGCTGGACACGCAGCCCAGGGTTCACTTCTTCTGACCAAAATATGATTGTCTTCCAAAGAGTTGAGCTACCCACCACTGCCCGAGTCAAAACTTCTCCAAAGGAAGCCTTGCTGTTGGAAGCACATTCTCCAGAGGGCTCTGGTTCAAGGTCTGATTCAAACATAATAGGTAT